TTCTCTCTTGGCAAGTTGAAACAAATTCAGAACTAGGCCTACATTGAGGAACAGATTCATCATACATAGACATAATGTTTTTTAGATCATCTTTACCCATTGTTTCATCTTGCCCAGAACAGAAGGGAAGGGTTGCTGAGGCGCTCATTGCCTAATCTGAAGTTGGCTCCTATTCTGAGGTGGAGATAATAGCCTGGAACTGGGTTTTCCTGCTCCACATTGAAAGCCCAATTCTGCACTTTTGCTGCTGTGCTTTCATTGGACTCAATGACAGCAGTTCTCTTGGAGAGTGTAGGGAGCGCTAATCACGTCCCTTGCCCCAGGGAGCGCTAATCACACCCTGTATTGGCACATCCAGGGTATCTGCATGTAAGAAAAAGACTGTGGTTGTGTGAATGAGCCCACTATGGTTTGTGAAACAGGTCTCCACTGTTTGGCAATTTCTACATCTTCAAAAAGCAGAAACACTGGTTCATCGGCTCCTAACCACGCAAACAACCAATGGTTGGGGTATAAAATAAGTGCTGAGCAAGGACTGGTGAATCACTGCCCCAAAATAATAACTACCAATTTATCCTTTTAAGTCAAACCACAGGCAGGTAAAACTGAGATTCTGTTTTGTTTACCAGTCAGCTAGTAGACATGCCAAAGGGAAAGTTGCTAAGTACAAGGAGAAGTTGCTGAAGAAGTCTCACACGAAAGCTCTATCAGGAGAAACTGCATACAGTATTAAGTATCCTGTTTTGTTACAGACAAATGTGCAGGTATTGAGCAGTGACTGCTGCTTGGGAGCATAATGCAGATCATCTCTCCTCCCACTTTCAATTGATAACTTGGAACTGGGGTGGGAGTGTGTTTGGCAGCACACAGGTCAGAATATTTTTAACTTACATATTGTTGAATATAGCCCCATCATGCGTTACAGTCACAGAATTGCTTGAACAATAAAGCATTAACAATACAATTTTTAAAAGATTAGAGATACAATATTGATGCAATGTAGAGATACAATACAATGTAGAGATACAATATTGCATGTCTATGGAGAGTCTCAACCAACCAGGTCATGGTTATCCCAAAGCTGCTTTTTCCAAAAGGCAACTGGACTTCCTTGTTTTTTTCTTTGAAAAAGTTTCACTTTTCATACACTAAGGAAGCTTCTTGGCTAAGAAGCAAAATGTTTTCAAAGGGAAAAAAAATCAAGAAAGTCCAGTTGCCTTTTAGAAAAAGCACCTTTAGGCCGACTTCCGGTTTGTCGGCTTCGCGAGCGGCAGGGATTTGCGAAGCTGCGCGATCCCTGCCGCGCTAGCCGTTTTTGGGGCTCCGACCCAGACGGGTACGGAGCTAGGCTGCCCTGCAGGGGCAGCTGAAGGTAGGGGGGATCCGGAGAAGGGTTTGGGGGTTTTGCAGACCCCCTCCCCGGCCGGCAGAACCCCCTTTTCCCAGGACGGTGCAGCGGCGGTCCGTAATGGCCGCCACAAAGAAGCTGGCAGCCGGGTAAGAATGCGCAGGAGGAAGAGGAGAAAGTGCTTGAAAGGAGAAAGTTTTTCTTGGCTCCTAGGACTCTAAGACATATTTAACAAAATTCCTGAAAAGTATGACTTTCTGAATGATACCTTCGAGAAGAGGGAAAAAGCGGCAGTTTAATGGTGCTGAAAGGATAGCTTACCCTCTTTTTCTACGGAATAAAAAGTGAATATTAAGAAATCTATTTTTTTTTAGGTGAAAACTGGCTTTAAGCGATGAGTGGGAAAAGAGAGGACTAAAAAAAAATATTTGTATGCTAAGACTTTGTTGGAGGAGATGCCTTAAGGATTGAAAGACTAAAATATATTCCAATAAGATTTTAAGAAACAGATTTGGACTTTCTTTTTCTCTGATTGATACTACCCTAGGAGGAGAGAGTGGGAACTCTGTCTTGGTTTGGACTGACTGATAACTTTGGGATTGTCTTATTTTTCCTTTGGAATATTCTGACTGTTGTAAGAGAAAAGAAAAGAAAAGATTTATAATGGCTCCTTCTATTGAGGAACTGAGAAAAGATTATGAGCAAGCAAAAAAAAAATGGTAAAGCTGGTTTGAAAGAAGCCTTCCTTTTTTTAGAAATGGCGCTTATTAACTATCAACAAAAATTGCAGCAGATGAAGACAGCAGAAGAAGAAGAAGGAGAGGAAACCATCTTTAATAAATCTCAGAACTCGACCAAGAGGGAAGGAAGAGGGAAGAGAAGAGAAATAAAGGACTTAAGATTTAAAAAAACATTTAAGAAAGGGAAAAACAAGGTGCAAAATCAATATAAGGATGGTAAACAAAAGGGAAGAGGAATACGACAGAGAAGGGAAGCCAGTAAGGCAGAGGCTAGAAGAAGGGGGGGTAGAAAGGTTTGTTGGGAGAAGAAAGAAAGGGAAAAGGTGGAGAAAAGCTACAAAGTTTTGAAATTAAATGGGAAAAAAGGAATTTTTTTTTAGGGATAAAGGATAAGTATAATTTCTTCAAAGAGATTTTGCAAGGTACATAAGATGATATGGTAGTATTGTATTAGAAATAGAAAACTTAAATGGCTTAAGAGTTGATAAGAGATTAAAATGTTGAAATGTTAATAATGATTGGTTTTAAAATATAATATGAGGGGAGATTTAGAATATTGAGCTTTAATTAAAGAGTTTAATAAGATTATGGGATTGATGTTATTATAAAATTTTCATTATAGTATTTGTTTTTAATATTTAGATCTATTGTTTAACTATGTATTTAATTATTTTGGATGTATTATTCAGTTAGAATGTACCAAGCAAAATCGGATTGGGTATTCTAAAGATTAATTTGATTAATTTAGTCGGGAGATAGAAAGGCATCATACTCTGATTAGTGATTTCAGGAGAAATTTCTTTTTTTTTTTTATAAGGAATGAGACAAAGGTACAATAAAGAATGGACAAAAGATACAAATATAATGACTCAAATTAAGATGATTAATTAAGATAGAATTAAAAAGAGTGAAATATGGGGAGAAGTTAATATAGAAGATTTAGAATGGTAAATAAAATAAGTAATGATATGTAAGATGAGTATGAATACAGTTGAAGTCCATGAAGAAAGAAATACCTGGGTCCAAGTTACTTTCCAAAAAGATCTTTTTTTATGTTTTGTGTGTTGTGTATATATGTTTTTTTTGGGGGGGAGAATTAATGAAACCTTGCAGAAATATAGAATGAGAATAATGGTAACTAAGTCAGAAAGAAATAGATGAAATAATAATAATAAAATGGAATAAGAGTAAAGAGAAAGAAAGAGAAAATGGATAAGAGGTTTTTGTATGTTTATATGGAAATGGTTTAAAACAGAATTATAGTTTATCTGACTTGTTAAATTTATAATGGAAAAAGGTTTAAATATGTAATGGATAATGACGACTTGTGTGTTTTGAAAAAAATTAATAAAACTTGTTTAAAAAAAAAGAAAAAGAAAAAGCACCTTTAGGACAAATGTAGAGATACCAAAGAAGCTCTACAATGGAAAATCACATGATGTAGGACTATTGTTCCTTCTTTCCAATACAAACCAGGTAAGTCTTGCTAGCATACCTTGTAATGTCATGTGGATAAGGTATTTTTTAAAAAGAGGCTGCAAAAGCATATTTGTGTCATGGTTAGACACAGGGAAAGATCTTCATTGTGCCTGTATTAGCTCTATGAATGCTTTGAAAGTGGGTAATAAATCATGGATTTTCAATTAAGACATGCATATGTTGTTAATGATACCCTATTTAATATGATCTTAAGCATAAAGAACTACATTTTGTTGAGGTCAAGCATTTATTCCACATTTTCAGGCACTGGGAACAATCTAGCAAAAAAAAAAAAAGAAGTATGCATAGTGTATTAATTACTGATGCTTTTAAACTGTAGGAATAGAGATGTGCTAGTCCGCATAACAAAAAATCAGAAGGGACCTGGTTCTGACTAACTTTTATTAAAAGTCGTAAGCTTTTGTGAGTTGCAGCCTTTTAATAGAATTGGTTAATCAGAAAATGACACCTTATTTCAGACTGTTGAAGGCCATTTTTAATAATAATATTATCCTCCAAACAAGAAAAGTGGTAATTTCCCCCCATCAATTTCCAGTACAGGTAATCTTTGACTTACAGCAGTACATTTAGTGACTGTCCAAAGTTACAACGGCACTGAAAAAAGTGATTTATGATTGCTTTTCACTTACATCTATTGCAGCATCCCCATTTTCACCTGATTAAAATTCTGATGCTTGGCAACTTGTTCATATTTATGATGGTCGCAGTGTCCCAGGTCCCACGTGATTCCCTTTTGTGACCTTCTAACAAGCAAAGTCAATGGGGAAGCATGATTCACTTAACAACTGTGTTACTAACTTAAGAACTGCAGTGATTCACTTAACAACTGTAGCAAGATCGTACAGTGAGACAAAATTCATTCAAAAAATGTTTTGCTCCACAACAGAAATTTTGGGCTCAATTGTAACCTGTAATTTCTAGTTCTCAGGAGCTACTTCTAATATATTGTTGAACATTGGTTTTGTTTTAATCTTTCAGAGAAATATCATTTTTCACCATTAAACTATTTTGATTTCTAGAATGTGGAACAAGGCCTGCAGTAGATGAGTCCACAATGGGCTCCCGGATTGTAGGTGGACATGATGCTGAACCTGGGGCATGGCCATGGCAAGTCAGTCTTCAAATTCATTACAGTGACAGAGCATATCGTCATATATGTGCAGGAGTTTTAATCAATAACAACTCAGTGCTGACTGCAGCACATTGCATTCAAGAACATCCGTATGTATCTTTCAGTTCTAAATTGTTTTCTATCCATCTTTGGTGAATGTGTACATAGAAATAGCAATAGTACTTAGACTTATATATCACTTCGTAGTGCTTTAGAGCCATCTCTAAGCAGTTTACAGAGTCAGCATAATGCCCCCAACAATCTGGGTCTTCATTTTAATGATCTCTGAAGGATGGAAGCCTGAGTCATTCTTGAGCCAATCAAGATTGAACTTCTGGCAATCGGCAGAATTGGCCTGCCATTCTGCATTCTAAGCACTATATGCCACCATGACTCTGGTGCAGATGTGTTTATACATACATATGCAACACTTTAAAACCTAGATCAGCAACAGACTGAGGAATTCATCCTCCAAAGAAAGAAGGATTGTTTTGGGAAAAGGCAATGAAAAAAGGAGACTTCCTCTTCCCATTAATTGGTACACATGCATATAAATACCTGTCATATTTGAAAGGGAAAACAATAGGAACCAGGGCAATGAAACATTTTAATTAATTCCTATAAAATAAGTCATTTTTTCCAACTTTAAAAATTATATCTAACTATACCAACCATTCTCTCCCTACACAAGTAGCCTCCCCCCAAGCATGCATAGACAGACAGACACATATTTCCCTCTGTCCTTCAATATGAAATGGCAAAAAAGAAAATGAGATGTTTTCTTGGGCAAGGATAGGAAGGGCTACCATTTCTCCTCTGCAAGACATGATAACCACTAAGTGGAAGCTGCCATATGATAGTCTGGATTTTTACAGCCCCAATATGGAACCTGTAAGGGAAAGAATAGCCAAGCTGGATGGAAATAAAGTGAGAGGAAAAATGAAAAGAGAAGGAAAAGAGAAGGGAAAACTTGTTTAGGTATTATAGAAAGAGATCAAATTGCATGATACATATAATTACGTTACAAAGTGTGTGACATTATGCTCGTGGGAAGTACCTAAATGAAAGGGCTGGTTTAACTCTGAGAGTGCTCTCATTATAAGTAACATTGATGTGCCACTTATTTATTTATGAATCTCCTTCCTATACTATTTCCTTCTTCCACATATCTTTTGCTTAAAGGGGCAGGAGATGTTCTGATACCTTAATCCAGGGGTTGCCAAACTTTTAGACCTCAGGGACCACCAAACTCATAATTTTAAATCCTGGGGACCACTAATATGAATTTTGACTGACGGTAGCTTGCTGATGTTGGTGGGAGAGAGAGAAAAATCTGATCTAACCTCTCTCTCTCCCTCTCATACACACACACACACACACAATACACACAGAGGCAGGGGTGGGATTTAAATTTCTTAACAACTGGTTCTTGGGTGTGGCTTTGTGGTCATGTGACTGGCTGGGCATGGCTTGTATGTAAATATTATAAATATTTATGTAAATATTGAATTGTTTATAAAAAAAGAGCAACTTTTACCCAAAATCAGGCAAAGCAGGCAGGCAGATTGAGTTGCTCACAGAATCACAGTTTCACTTAGAGATCTGTGTTTCTGCCATCAACTATCTGAGTCTACTAAAAGCAGAGCCGAAGATCTAAAGATTAGCTTGAAAGCAAGAAATCTAACGACTTCCTGCTTTCTAGCGAATCTAAATCTCCCAGGACAGCAGAACAGCAGATGGTCAGGGGGGAAAAAAGGAAAAATAGCGTCTTAGCAGGCAAGTTTGCCAGATAAGGAGTGAGTGGGCGGGGAGGGTTCCCGCAGGCCATGTGGGCTGCGCAGCCTTGTGTTCTCGCACAGCCTGGATTAATTGCTTTGGGGGGTGCTCTGAAGGTGACATTTCTCTTCGGCCCACCAAAATTTTCTCGTGGCCCATCAGTGGACCGCAGCCCACCAATTGGTGACCACTGCCTTAATCCACAGATTGAGCTTAATAAATTTAAAACAAAACCATTTAAAAAGCATTTATTGTAGTATTTGTAGGTCAAGTACCAAAAAATATATAGCACAAATGCCAGGATAATTGCAATTAATAATATACGTTTATTAATCGAGTCCAGTTGTTTACTGTTTTGCATCAATCTCTGGCATTCAAGAGAACTCTTCAAAGCTTTTATCAGCTAACTTTGTAAGTTCCATAAAGAGAAGCATTCAACATCCAGGTTTGGGATGAGTGGGAATTATAAATATAATATAAATATAAATTGTAAATTTCAACTGTTTATGAATCCATTATCTTTTGAACTATCAAATCAGGATAGGGAATGGTACTATTAATTGTCCTGTGTGGTTTCACAGGTTGCACTCATCTGTCATTTTCTGTTCAGAACAAATCCTACAGATAACAAAATCAGCTATCTTCAGGACAGGTGAATGGAAGAAATATAGATTTCATGTGTGCAGCTTTTGCATTCTCAGGGGCTAGTATATGTCTCTCTTTGCATTTTTGTAAGTCAGTGTCCAGATGTGGAAAACTGAAGAGCAATGGTAAAAGTAAGTATGGAGGAAAAGAAGAGCCAAGGGATAGGAAAGTAAAGGAAAACATCCAGGAATCTAGAAAGACCAAAGCAATCGGGGGCAAGAATGACAGTGGTGGCAAAATAATCAAAATAATTACAGGATCGGGGATTGGCAGCAAGAGAGACAAGATCTGGAAAATTTGACTGAAGAATGGAAGAAATCAAGGTGAAAAAAACCTGGGGTAGAGCAATCCATTTTTCTTCAAGAAAAAAAAAAGGGCAAAACAATAGACACAATCTACATAGACTTCTGTAAAGCCTTTGATTCAGTGGTACACGACAAACTACTCCTAAAACTAAAATCTTATGGTATTTCTGGACAACTGCATGACTGGATAGAAGCATTCCTGTCAAACAGACAACAAATGGTCAAAATTGGGAGTGTCCTATCAAATTCTGTACCCGTCAATAGTGGTGTCCCCCAAGGCAGTGTTCTAGGACCAACTCTCTTCATACTGACCTCTGTGATCATATTAAGAGCAACTGCGTTCTCTTCGCTGACGATGTAAAGCTATTCAACACCACAGACAATACTGCTACCCTTCAAAAAGACCTTGACTATGTATCAGAATGGTCAAACAAATGGCAACTTCAAATCCCAACAAATAAATGCTGTCTTACATATTGGCAAAAAAAAATCAGAAAATAAAATACAAGCTGAATAGTCAAGATCTTGTTGATGATCCAAGCTCTGTAAAGGACCTTGGAATACTCATCTCTAAGTGCTAGAGCCCACTGTAACTACATAGCCAAAAAGGCATTAAGAGTTGTTAACCTAATCCTACGTAGCTTTTTCTCTGGTAATATGACACTACTAACTAGAGCATACAAAACATTTGCTAGACCAATACTCGAATACAGCTCATCAGTCTGGAACCCACATTACGTATCTGATATTAGCACAGTTGAGAAAGTCCAGAAATATTTCACAAGAAGAGTTCTCTACTCGTTGTAGAATACCTTATGCCACCAGACTTGAAATTCTAGACCTAGAAAACCTTGAATTACACCATCTTCAGTCTGATCTAAGTATGGTATATAAAATCATACATTGCAATGACCTACCTGTCAATGAATACTTCAGCTTCAACCATAACAACACAAGAGCACACAATTGATACAAACTCAAGGTTAACCGCACCAAACTTGATTGCAGGAAATACGACTTCAGCAACAGAGTGGTCAATGTCTGGAATACTCTACCTGGCTCTGTGGTTTCTTCCCCAAACCCCAAAAACTTTAACCTTAAACTGTCTACTATTGTCCTCACCCCTTTCCTAAGAGGTCTGTAGGGGGTGTGCATATGAGCACCAACGTGCCTACCATCCCTGTCCTATTGTTTCTTTTATTTTTCTTATATGTACCCATTTCATGTATTCATAACTATGTATATACTTATACCTATTATCTTGTAAGCGATTGACAAATCAAAATAAATAAATAAATAAAATTGAAAAAAGAAGCTGGATTTGGTACTTTGTGCTTCTTGGTCAATACTAGTATTAAAATTATGTAGAAGTTATCTTTCCTGGGCTCTCACAATCTTAAGTACTGCCAATACCATACCTTGATGAGTATTAATTCTGAAATCTCATACGAGCAACGGAAATTATTTCTGTAGTTCTTTGCATTATTACTCACTCTATGCACAGGCTTCCAGTTTCTAATAGGAATCCTTTGCTTAATTTTGAACAGAATTTCCAAGACAACTGCCTTCATTTTAATGGCATAATAAGAAGATTGCTTTTGGTAAAGATTGGCTTTGGTTTCAGAATTCCAATCTGAAAATTCATGAAGTGAAATTACTGGATTATTTTAACTCTGTTATCAGTATCTCTGATGTAACAATTCTATAGTATCTATTGACTCTTATGGACCTTTGATTTTTTTCCCCCTAGGAAACCAGACAAGTGGAAGGCTGTAGTTGGTTTGCATCATCTTTATATACATTGGCCTTTTTCTAAAGAATATCATATCAAAGATATCATAGTCCACTCTGATTATGAATTTGGAACTTTTGAAAATGATGTTGCCTTGTTCAAACTCATGCAATTTGTGAAGTACAATGACTATGTCCAGCCTGTCTGTTTACCTGACTCTGCTCACTTTCTGAGTGATAAATCTAAGAATCCATGTTATATAAGCGGGTGGGGAAGCTCAGAGGAAGAAGGTAAATCTGTCCTTATTATTTTAAGATCAAGATTTTAGTGATTTTAGGCTGAGGTCTTATTCACAATTTAAATTAAATCATGGCTGCGAGTAAATGTACTCACTAAAAAGTTACCAGCCATAGTGATAGTATCTTTTAAATCACTTTTTCACCAAACTTTCTAGATATCTATCCATAAATAATACAATGTATTCATTTTTTAAATTGTTTTCCTGGATATTAAACTTTTAAAAGCAATCCTTTTCAGAAACATTATAGAAGTGATGTTATTATCAAATAAATCCAATTTTGTCTGGATGTAACGGTAGTGAAATTTTCTTCTCTTATTCTTGCATGCATTATTGACAAAACATGGATGGCACGATAGTTTACCTCAACAAATGAAAAATTTTAAAGGTGCAAAATCTGTAGGCTTGTATATGTTGCTAAGTGACAGTTTTCACTGCCTTGGTAATGGTAAGAGATGCTGGGAATCAGTACTATAATATCTGGAGGGCCAGAATTTACAATTTTTCAAGGCAGTGATAACCCCCCCCCCCCCCCGATATTGTTGCAGAATGATTCCCAGCATTTTTTCATCATTACAATGTTACTCTTAGCCATGCCATTGGCATAACTATCATGCCATTGACATAACTACCATGCATCCTATGCTATTGGTATATTGCCAATAGTTTGCTATTAGACATTACCTAGCCAGGATTGATGGAACTACTACTACCACTAAATGATCAATTAAAATTGAAAAGAAAAACTTGAATTTTATGGTTTAGCATGATGGTGTAATGCTTTGTGAGATGATAGCTTACTGCACAAATAACATGCATTTTAAAATTCTCCATAGTGATATTTG